TTGTAGAAAGACAGATGAGGAAGAAGGACAAAGAGAAATGGAGACCAACGAGACAATCATGGTGAGAAAGCAGGATGGATTGGTGCCGTCAGGATCGATGGGCAGATATGACTGAAGATTGCTCAGTGCTCGGTCGTTGTCAGGTGGCTTACTGTCTTAATTTCTCCTGTCGCAACAACAGGCAACTTGTAGGTTTGTGTGTGTGCATGTCTAGCGTTGAATCAGATAAACACACTGCAATAATATAAACAGGAAAAATATACATATAGCTGAGAGGCTCGCTGCATTACACTCATCAAATATAGACTATAAACAACATTACAAGGTCATGGCACTGGGTGTAAACTGACACAAGGCCTTGTGGGGAAAACAGTGGATAATTGTTGGCGCTTAACTGACCCAGCTGATCACATCAGTGAGAATAAAAGACATTTCAAAAGAAGGACACATATTTAGTCCCCTTAATATGTGTTTTATTAAATCTTGACCACTTAAATTCATATTTGGTGCTGTTTTGATGAACAGATGTCTCTTGCTGTGCTGTTGATTTAATGCATCAAAAAAAGCTTTGTGCAGTCAGTTTATCAACTTATTTTCAGAAGATTGACAGATTACTACTAGTAATGGGAACAGAAGAAGAACCGGTAATAATAATGAAGGGTCTGCATTTTGGTGCCATGCTTCCACTTCTGCTTTGTTTTAAATGCTCTCACAGCTAAAATGGCCTCCTATACTGGTCACCTCTGTATGTGGGCAGACATTTTAGGAGGAAGGCAGGAGGCTGAAATCTATGTGGCTGGATCAATATGTCACGGATGTTACAGTGGGCACCACACCTGCCACTGCTGAGCAAACAAACAAGAGACAATGACTGGCCTCCAAGTGCAGAATGACCCTAAATACTTCCGGCAAATGTTTTTTTTTTTTTTTTGGCATGCGTTATTGCTGAATGATCGAGTGTACAGAAGCAACCAGAAAGCACACAAATAAGCAACAAGACTAGCCTGAGAATCATTCCAAGGCAGAGATGACAGCGAGAGAGAGAGATGAAAAGAGGCAAAGAGGCAGGCTTCAATCCCTGTTCTTCCTCATGCCGGAGAGATTGATGGCTGCATTCAGGATTTCTACACACCACTAATTGCATTCACAGGTCATTAGTTAAAGTACATGAGTGAGACTGTTACAGCCTAAAGGCAGAGAGGTGACACAGACAGGAGAAAGGTGCGAGGGGGGCAATATTGATGAGGTTGTTTGGTTCAGGACCAATGAAATTTCCTCCCCCTCTGCTGCGTCTCCAAAGCGCTGTTCACCCACACAGAAAGGGGTGATCAATAATTTGAGCAGCAAGGAAAAGTGGGGGCCAGAGACAGAGGCAGGGAGAGATGAGAGGATAGGCAGGAAAGAGAATGAGCCAACATCTAATGTGTAGCTCACTTACATACATGGAGGTTGCCTACTGTTTTTTATTTATAATATATAGCGGCAAGAGAAGGAAATGAGATTACACCATTATGCAAGGGGAGAGCGGATGAACAATCTTTAATTCCAAACAGCACAAGGTCTGTGCCCCAGTTTTGAGAACCAGGTGACAGGGTAGATACGATGCTGGCCAGCTATTTGACAGTTTATACCGACATGTACAATTACAAGGTAATTCATCCTAATCATCCTAAAAGATGTTGTACTAGTCTAGTAAACAGCGATTACAGGTTTTCAGTGCAACCAGCACAGTGCCAATCTTTTGTGATTTGTAGCTGAGCAACAAAGTGAGCTCACTGAAAAACGTTGTACTTGTTTAGAGAGCCAGCAGGGCTTGTTGTTTTAACATGGGAGGACAAGGGTACAGTCTGCTCAAACACATACAGGCATGCAGATGGCTGTTCATTAATTACAGATGGATGGGGGGAGGGAGTAACAGAGAGCGAGAGACAGAGAAAGAGAGAGAAGTTAACTAATGGTGCCAGTATTCTCTCTCTCTCTCTCTCTCCCTGGACAATTACCTCTGTCTGGCCCAGACCTCTTCTGGCTCTCTTAATCAAGGTGCAGGTGCATAGGTTTTTGTGTGATGGCGCGTATGCGCATGTGCATGCATGAGGAGGGGTTCTTGCCATCCTCAGCACTCTCGAGCAACAATCCAATTAAAAACCTGCTGCTGTGGGGTCTGGCTGTCCTGCCCTTTGCAAAGCCCACAGTCCACCGGCTAAAAAAGAACTACCCTTCACACTCTAAAGTATTTGCACACTAAAATGTGCCTGCACCCTTAACAATATGTGTAACAATACCAAACACTCACTGTATGATATTGCCATGATAAAAGGTCAACAATATTACAGAAAAAGGATGACAAACATGCATTTTATTAAGCTATAAATCAGTGCTTTTGTATGATTTTGTATTTTAACTTAAGGTGATCCTGCTTTCCTTCTTTATTAAAATAAAACTAGCCAGCCATGACCCAGGCATGTGTAAAAACTGGTATGAACTGGCACTGAATAATTGAACTGTTTGTACAATGGCAAAACTAAAGATAGTGCAGCAGCCGGTGGCAGTCCTTTTATGAAACAAAATAATTTATTGTTGCAGTAGCTGGTTCTTGTAAACAAAACAAGCCACACTCAAAGAGGAACATCAGTGTTTTAGTGCCCTGTAGGCAGGTTCAACTTTCTCTGTTTGGTGACAGTGCTAACCAGTGGTTGGGTTCTGTGTCACTGGACCAGTTGAAGTGGATATCAGTCTGACCACTGGGGTCTAAGGGTAGCTCTATATTTTTGTCCACCCAAGTTACATACATGAGAGGGTCGGAATATTAGGAACACCTCTAAATATAAAGTAGTACAGTACAACACAACCTCAACTATTACGCCTCAATAATAAACAAATAATTGAATTTATACATTTATGTCCATTTCATAAAAAACAAAAACTGAGCTTCATGAACACAGATGTTAGGGCAGATGTGATGCATTGAAGTGCATGCAATTGTATAGATGTATCTAATAAAGTGGTGTTGAGTGCAGGTGGACGGCAAAGTTAGAATTTCTTGTATAGGGAAACACGTTTCCTAACTGTGCATATGACAAACACTTTGACTCAGGTTACTTTTAAGTTATAAGCAAGATTAATAAAAGTCATTTGTTTATCACTAATCGTTCTGGACCTTTGACCTTGAAATCAGATTTCTGAATATTAAATTTGAGAACCTCTGTTCTATTGTGATATCATGAAATCACAAATATCGTTAATCCCTCACACCCCCTCCACCCACACACACACCCACACACAATTCTTTTTACAAAAGTGGTGTGTGTGGCCTCTAAAACTGACCTCTCATCATCACCCTGGCTGTTGGCAGCCATTACTTTGGCCCCATGGGGCCTGGCCTCCCCTCCACAAGCCCTCTATTCTCTACTCAGACAACCGACCTGTTAAAAGACGAGCAACCCTCACTCCAACAGGCTTAGATGCTGCTACCACAGACCTATCAATTACATATTGCTGTAGATCTTTATCCATTAAACTGCAGTCACATTACAACAGACTGGCACCTTGAAATGTTCTGCTCAGCATTCATGGCAGCCAGAAAACATACAAAAGAACCAATTAAAAACATCACTTTTAGTTGTATAGTCAATTTCAGGCTTCGCCAGTAAGTTCACATGTGGTGAGTTCAGCCAATAAAGACACTTGTTCAGGTGCAATGGCCTCTGAGAATAGTCCCACATGGAGCCAGACATTATTGCTGGTAGTGCCCAAACACCACTCACACATTTTTTATGAACTGAGAAGGTTTGCAGGCAGCTGTGAGGCATTCACAATTTCAAAAACCATACAGCATAGTAGCAACAGTGTAGCAACCTAATCACATTTCTTAAACCATAACGTTACATCCTTTTTCATCGGCATGAACAAAGACAAATCAGTAGAGTGAACTCGAGTGTTACTTCCCCTGTAGCAAACCCAGAAACTGCAATGTAGAAAAATCAATTGCCTGTGTGTGTGTATATACGTATTAGTAATACATTTTAGGTGAACAACACAAAAAGCATCTCACTAAACTGGCTGAGTCGGATGAATAAGCAGTTTTCAATAGCAAATTAAGGACTAATTTTTTTTCATTATTCAAAAATAAAAAAAGCAATTTGGCCACATTAGATTAAAAAAAAAATCTATTGAAAACTGTTGACGTCTCCCTCATTAAATCAATTAAGGGCATCGACAAACATCTTTATTTCAATTATAAGCATTATTACACTACCAGTGGATCGGAAAGGCAGTTAATATTCAAATTTTGAGGCAGATTTTTATTTTTTCCTTATAAGCCTTTAAAACAAACCCCGATTGTATTTCACTATGAAATACAATCACAACAGATTTTCATGCTGTAACAAAAAAATTTGCAACTCTGCACCTGTATCTCCTAATTATGGCACATCACAGTCCTTATTTTTTCTAGACAAAGTGTGGTTTATTTTCCAGCATGAGAGATGGGATGAGTGGGTGGGTTTGGTGGTGAATCTCAGGCCAGCATGAGGGTACAAACAGGTCAGTCAGGAAGTGAAAAGTTACTCACCAGCTTGAAATCCTGAATGCTACAAATGAAGTAGGGAGTGTTGGGCCGTCGACTCTCAATGTACACACAATCTGCAAGTGAAATAAAGAGAAAGACACTGAGTTTTTAAAGAAAATGTTCAGTTTCCAAAGCTTTCATGTTTTTTTTGCAGCCATGCTCAGTAATATATTATTTTGCGTGCTGTTACCTCTGCTGAAAAGATATTTCTCCTTGAGTCAGATTCAATTGGAATGTGAGTAATAGGATTAAGGACTTTTGGAGAGCTACAAGGTTGACTTTCCAAAGCAAACATTACACCCAAGGGGAGTTATGCTTTTGTTCCATTTCATTTATACACCAGTGAGCAAAACTAGCTTTAACCCCATGCCGTCCCCCAGTCATCGCTATAACTTGTCAAGCGACTTCCTGTCGTTGCACCTATACAGTGTACAGTATAGAGCTGTACCCAAATAAGGATTTTGTCAGTTTGCTCTTCAGTGCAACTGTTCGACTATTCTTTCTTTAACATACAGTCAGGTCCATAAATATTGGGACACTGACACAATTCTAACATTTTTGGCTCTATACACCACCACAATGGATTT